TTTAACCCACTAAATGCCTAACAGAGTGACAGTCTTACAGCAGACATTCAAATGTATAGTTAAGTGAGTAATGAATGAATGTGTAAAGGTTATAAAAGGTCTCACCTAATAACCAATGCATCACAGTGAAATACTATGTGGGCCAAAGTCAGCAGTCCAATGTCCCCAAGCAAAAGAAACAAGAACACTATTTCATGTCATAATAAGTAGAGCATGTCAGAACTATAAAATAATCTGTCTTTTCAACCAAAAATGCTTTTTTAATAGAGAATTTTCAAAAGTGTGTGTCAGGAAGGTGACCTTCCAGATAGGTAATGAGAAAACAGGTACAGAGTTGTCAGGGTGATGGTGCCAGGGCTCTGGGCACAAGAAGAACCAGTGACCCCGTGAGTTCTTGGTGACCAACAATGACCCTGTGAGGTCTTGGATGGTGTCTGACAGGCAGGGTCACTCAGTGAGCAGAGCAGCTGGGATGGTCAGGCCTGATGGAGGTGGAAGGTCACATGGGGCCACAGAAGCACAGGAGCCCTGGCATGGCCTGCAAAGGTCTCTTAGCTTACAAATGTGGTGTTGAGTACTGTTTGTTGTCAGCCAGCCAGAGGAAGCATTGCTGTCACTGATAGCACTCTGGTCTTTAAGAGTCTACTATCCGTGGGGCTGGGGATTTAGCTCAGCAGCAAAAGCGCCTGCCTGGCAAGCGCAAGGTCTTGAGTTCAGTTCCCAGTACCGGAGAAAAACCAAAACAAAAAAAAAAAGAGTCTACTATCCGCATCGTGTCGTGTTATTCATACAATATTTGTAGACTACCCAAAGTGCTAAACTCAATGCACATGGGTAGTACATAAGAACTGAAGGCACAATGATACCCAAGATCTGGATGTGCTCCCGGCTCGCTCAAAACACCCAGGTCTCAGAGCCTCAATGTCTCTATGTATGAAATGAAGATTACATTAACAATTATTACATAAAGTTTCCTTAGAAAATCAAATGAGTTGATGTATATGGAAGATCTTTGTAAATGAGAGGGTGTTGTCATTATCAGCCTTAAGTTTCAGCATCCATATATCAGAACCTGAGCAATTGCCAGAGATCAGACACATATAGGAAAATATCTGATGCATATTGGCTATGTATCTAGCCAGGGTTCCTCAGCTCTGACACTGCTGACATTTGAGGACACATGATTCCTGACTGGAGAGCAATTCTATGGCTTGTAGGATATTTAGTGTATCCCTAGTATCTACCCATTCAATGCCAGTAGCAACTACTTCTTTCCCCCACAGCCCCCACAGTCATAAAAATATCTGAGATGTTAACAAATGTCCTTTGAAGGATGAAGCTCTCCTGGCCATTTATCTAAGTATTCATTTATACACCATAGTTTGCTAATAATTTTACCTATCCACTTAATCCTCACAGTGAAGCCATGAGTTAGTATAAGTAGCACTGTTCTACTTCATAAGTGAAATCAACTTTCAGAGGGCATAATTAAGTACCCAGCCTCAAAGAGAAGATGTGTCTCTCAGGCTTGAAAGCCATGACATTCATTCTGCCCCTCTCTATCAGGAGAAAAGCTTGGCTTGGGTGGCTTTGGGTTAGCTGCCATGAAAGAGTTGGCAAGACCCGGAAGGACAAATACATCTTGCCAGTGGTTAACAGAAGGACTTAATTCGTATTCTCACCTCATTTCTCCCATCATGAGACTTTGGTGCATCAGGATTTTTGTACTTTTACCACTGACCTTTAAACATATCTTGATCATTTGAACTCCAGAAACTATGGAGTTTCAGAATCAGTAAACTGGACTCAAGTCCTCCCTTATTTGCAAAGCCCAGATTTTTTGCCCACCGCAGATGGCTCATGCCTCTATAACATGTGGCCTACGACTATTAGTGTGTGGCTAGAAAGGAGTCCTCTACTCTATGCACCACTGTCATACTGCGATGAAATGAACACTGAACACAGAGCTGCTGCCTCCAGAGCACAGCGCTCTCTCATTTCCCATCTGTGATATAACAGCATAGTCATTGTCATGGCTAAAGCAACAGCAGAAGAGAATAACCTATAAGCCTAGCTCTTACTACTTTAGCACAGGTGAGTCAGGGATGCAAATTTAAGCCTGCCCAAAACAGTCAATTATGGCCTCTGCTAGATTTTAGTCCAATTGTGTGCTCATTTGTGCAAGACACAAGCCAAACTAAACACTGTACACGAAATAAAAGGACTGCATATCCAGTGTCACACCTTAAAAGTGAGAGAGGCTAGCGAATTTTTTTTGAGGTTAGTGAATTTTAATGGCTTTTAACTATTAAGATGATATCCTTGTTGTATAAGTTTTTCACTAACATTTTTTATGCTTCTGCTTTCACACCATCTTCAAGGGTGCACAGATGAAAAAGGACATGGTATTCTCTCAAGGGGCCTCTGATCACATGTAGTCCAAAAGTGCAAAATTTCCCACCTCAATCTCACCTCAGCCTCTCTCCTTCTCTGTCTTCCTCGAAATATCTCCTTCTGTCCTTTCATCTGACCTAAAAAACAATCAGCCAGCACAAGGACTCAGGGAAAAACACTTGACGGGCAGGAAGGATGGCTCTGTTCTGAAACGACATCTGTCCGTAGCACACAAAGAACCTGCCTGCAGGCTACATGCAGATCCCACATCTGGCAATGGGAAGAGAAACTCAGTGAGAAGAGCAGACACAAATAGCCTGTATCCTATAGAGAGAACGGTGACTGGAACACAAGCCAAAAGTCTGTGTGAGTGAGGCAGAGACTTTATGAACCTAGATGTGGACAGTATGACTCCATACTTTGGGAAGTGCTTTTGTGTGGGAAACAAAGAGCTCTCCAGCAATGTGGGCTCCTGGAGCCAGGGCCTGTCTGTGTCAATGCCCCTCTGTTAACTAGCCATGGCCTACTTCTCCTTGATGATTGGGACTGAATTTTAATTGCCTGTGTCCTTTCGTCCTTCCATACCACCTCTTTTTGGAAGCTTACAAGGTGGTCAAACAAACTCCCCAAGGAAGTGACTGGCCTTACTGGACAGTAAAGTCCTGACCTGTTGAAATGTCTTCAGGAAGAGTGTTCCCTTCACCTCCCCCTTCTCCTTTGCTTCACCCACTTTCATCTCTTATTTTAGAAACACAAGATCAGTTGAGCAGTCTCTGTAAACGGAGAGGGAAGGGGTGGGAACAAATATTGATTCAAGGAATTAGATCCACAAAAAAAGAAAAGAGTCCTCTTACCACCAGCCAAATAGGGCATCGTCTAAATGAATCTGCCAGCAGAACAAGGTAAATCTTGTAGCCAGTCAAGAAGGACAATGGCCTGGGCCTTTGTCATGCCAGGGAGGAAGTAGCTGTCTTTCCTTGGTCATCCGCTGCTAAGTGAATTTGAGTAAGTAGTGGCAGGAGGTGGCTGAGTGGATGGAACACTGACTGTGCTGCCAGCTGATGCTAATGAAATCCTCTCCAGGCTCTCACCACTGGAGCACACTGCCAAAATGTTCACTCCCATGCTGTGAGGTTGGCGAGGTGTTATGTGGTGCCAGACCCTGTGCTGGGTATATGGCACTGTCTTTCCAGCCCCAAGGAGAGCTCACATTCTGTGGAGACCCAGGTATGCAATAAGAGAAAAGAACCATTCACTCAACAAATGCAAACTGAGAGCTCGCTTTAATCAGGCAGAACGCAGACCTTAAAGACAGAGGCATGAATGACTGTCTTGGTTTCTTTTCTCTCGTTGGTGAGACAAAATACCTGATGCCCCAAATTAAAGAAGGAAAGGTTTATTTAGCTCACAGTGGAAGTTTGAGTCCATACTCTGCTGGCTCCTAGGCTGGCACATGGCATAGGGCAACCGTTCATGGCGGCAGAAGACAGCAAAAGCAACAACAGCAAAAGGGAGGAGTGGCAGCAAGCAGCCTCCTTCTCTCCCTTACATATGCAAATTATCTGCCCCAGGGCAAGTGTAGCACTCATACCCATAATTCCAACACTGGACCATAGATCATTCATAAACTCCAGAAGCCCGCCCCATCACTGCATGAGGCTTTGGGAAGACACCCAGACACAAACCATAACAATGATACAGTTAGAATGTCAGCTAGAATGTATTCTGTGCCTAACGCTGTTCCCGGAGCTTAGATGGCACCCATGAGAATACATACAAATGAGAGTAATACTCATATTATTAACTCATTTTTTCAGATAAGAAAAGTGAGGCAAATAGTTCAGTAATTTGCTCAAGGCTACCCAAGCTAGTAAGTGGTAGAGTTGGAAGTAGAACTTGACAGCTCAGGGCCAGAACTTAAAGAAGGGAGTGAAGTAAGAAAGGTAGGATGGTACAAAGAGGCCAAGTTCAAGAGATTTGATCTGAGAAGCTCAGTGACCAGAATGAGGCAGTGGATGACATTAGGTCAGACATGTACTGGGCACTTTGCAGGTTTCCTTCCTTATCCTTTACAACAGCCCCAGCAGGCAGCAGCAATACCCTCTCTTTTCAAAAGCAGAAACGTAAACTTCCATTTAGGTACGTGTACCCAGTATCTGACTTTTATGTGGCTGAGTAAGGGATGTGTGCCCAATTCTCAAATTTATGTTTTATCCACCAGCAATATTGCAAAAAAATGGAAGATGTTGTCCTTATCAGATCTAGATTTGCAAGCTCCTGGGTGTGGATATGTCCTAGTCAGGACAAGCAGAATGAAGAAGTCAGTTTAACAAAAAATATGGGATGAGTTAGCCTTTTTAAATAAAAGAGGTGGAGGTGGGTGCAGGGAAGCTGAGAGAACAAAGGTACACAAACATGAGGTTGTGCCCAGAAAATGGTGCTCTGTGATAATTATGTGCCAGGAGAACATGAAAAGAAGGTACTGGAATGGTTGGTTGGGGCAAATTTTGAGAAGTCTCACATTCTCTGCTGAGTGGCATTCAAAATAAACTGTACGAGCCCCAAACATTAAAGGAAAATCTCACTGCATTATAATGCTCAAGGAAAACATTTCAACCGACATTTATTGAGAACCTCCTACGTGTAAGCTATTAAACTAGGAGCGCTGGTTAAAATAAATGTCTCTCCCTTCAATTTTTACAGTGAAATCTCTGTAATGAATATTAATCTATTTTCTGGACTTTGCAACAATACTGCCCAAAGCAGGACTCTGCCATTGTTTCCAGGCTGGCATTCCTGCCTTACGGTCACCAGCTTGAACATTGACTTTCATTTCATAGTCTGTGAATCCAGCAGGAGACAATATTGGAATGAAAATTTGTATTGACCTTAGAGAAGTCTTCGGAAGTTGCTTTCCTAAAAGAAAAGAAAGAAAACTGTCAGTGTGTTTTATTCTGCTTTGCCTTTTCTAAAGAAGAACAACCAAACAAAGTTAGTATAGAGAACGTTTCCCCTAAGTAGCAGATTCTCGGGGTTCCTAGTTATGACCAAGCATAGTTGCTTTCGGTATTTGCACAGTGATAAGTGAGAGCCCTGAGAATCTTGGACACAGCCTTGAGTAGCCTCAGTGTCCAAATCTTAAAAAGGAGTAAAAACAGAGTCTACATCATAATAATAAAGGTAATGTGTATAAAGCAATTGGTATATAAAGCACGTAAGCAAGTATTCAACAAATACTAAGTACTGATTATCACCACTGATCATCCCGAATAACGCTGCTAAAGTCAGAAGAACAGAAATTGGAAGGAAATTCTACTGCTTAGGGAGTGAAGAATGCACTTCTCAGAGACGAGTGACCTGAACTACATTTCAAGCCCCTATTTAAACCCAAACACACACACACACACACACACACACACACACACACACACACACAGTCAGTCGGTCACACAGAATTCTTAAACCACACTGCAAGGCAGAGATTATTGTCTCAGAAGGGAAAATTTGGAGGCTTGGGAAGTTCAAGGGAGATTAAGCCGAGCTGTGTTTCCACCTGGTTGGCACACAGGTTATGTTCTCATTGAGCATTCTATTTCTGAGCATTCATTGTCCCTAGCCTGATTGTGCTCGAATAGTCTGAGTATGAAACTCTGAGCACAACTGACCCTAGAGTCTGCTGCAGTGAAACTGCAATCTACTTTATGAAGAGATGGTAACAGGTGGGGTTCCTTCAGGAAGAAACGGACAGCTAAAGGAAAAGGAAACTGGGCGATGAAGCCGTAAGAGGCTCAAAGGCCCTGACGTGAAAGACATTCAGTACTTCCTTGCACATGATGAAGGGCAGGTGAGTGAAGTCGAATGAACAATTGAGCATCAAAAGGAGAAAAGGAATGGAGCAGCTAGAGCACACCAGTCAGGTGAAGAATTTTGTGTTCTGATTTATAACATTATCTGTGGAATTTCTTTATTATGTTTTGGGGGCACTGTTGGATGTGCCTCTGTGGACTAAGTGGATAAAGGATGTCCTCTGAGCTAGAGTAGCTGCTCTCATTAACAGCAAGTTGGGTTTAGAGTATTAGACCAAACTTTTGAAAGCCATAACCAGAAGCTTAGAGTTGAGCACGTGTAACAGTTGTCAAGGATAGAATTTTCATAAATCTCTCAGCCCTTTCCTTCCGGTCCATGATGTAGCTCCCAGCATCACCTCTGCATTCAAGTCCAGACCAAGTAAGGATGGCAGCTGCATCTTCATCATCTACAGAAGATTTACACTTCTGAATCCTCACCCCAGAGTGGATCACAAATCCTACCTGCAAGGGAGTCTGGGAAAGTGACCAGCTTTGGAGCTTCAATAATACGAGATGGGAATAGAAAAAGGCATCAGAAATGGCTTCTAATTAATCAATTAACATGTTAAGCACACAGGCTATAAAACTAAAGAAAGTGTCCCTTTACTAATAAGCAACAATGTTAGCCACACCGCATACCAATGGCCTAAAGTAATCAAAAGAATAGATGAATGAACAAAATCTTACACTGTTATGTCACAAAGCAGGAGGTAAAAGAGCCAATAAACATTTTTAAAATAATTAAGAAATGCAAATTGAAACCATGATGAAATCTGTGCAAACAATACCAAATGGAAAACATTTGCATGGGAAAATTTGGAAAATATTTTGCAGGATGTGAGGACATGGAAATATCCAAGTTATACTGACAAGTTATATTCAAATTAGTGGAGCATCACTAATTTGAAAAATAATCTAATATTATGTTTCTATACCTATGACCCAATTCACTACTAATATGTACCTTAGAAAAATTTCCACACACATGCACCAGGAAACAAATGTGAATACTATCATTGTCATGACAGAATTTTTTTCAAATAAAAAAAGAAAGGTTAAAAGAACTAAAATCAACAGAATAAAGTACACTATATTCACAAATGGAATATCATGCAGCTTTTAAAAAGTATAGACTATAGCTGTGTATAACTAAATAAATTTTCTAAATGTATGATTACACAAAATTTATAAATGCATTTAATTAATCTGCTTATAAATTTATTTATTAATTTATAAATCAACTATAATCAATCTGTTTATTAATTTATAAATCTATTTAAGACATAATTAAACACTATTATAAGATTCAAGATAAGTAAAATATTGTTTAAGTTTATATACAAAGGTGATGCTTTAAAATATTTTTTGAACCGAAAGAATGATAAAAAGAATTAAGTATCATTATCACTGAGAAGAATTTGGAACATACAGCTTAACCATATTGAAAGAATTTGAATATTTAAATTCAGGTAAGTCTTCATGGCTGTTCACTTTATTTTATGCTTTCTAATTTGCACATATCTCACCCGCAGCCCTTTTTATGTATTCAATATTGCATAACAAAAATTTCAAGAGAAAGTAAATTCTTAAGCAACATGAGCAATGTAAAAGGATTTTAAATTTCTTTTGTCTTTTGATTTTTTGTTTGGTTGGTTTTGTTTTGTTTTCTGAGACAGGGTCTTGCTATGTAATTAAGGCTGGCCTTGAATTCTCTATGTACCCAGGGTGGCCCTGAACTCATGTGATATTCCTGCCTCAGCCTCCCAAGTTCTAGGATTACAGGAATATGCCACCACCACCTGGCCCAATTTTAAATTTTGAAGTACAGGGAACCCTTCATTTACAAACTCAATTCATTCACAAGGGCTGGTTGTAACTCAAGTTGGTTGTAAGTGAAGACTATTTTTCCTGCAATGCATTCTGAACCTCCCAAAGCACCCCTTAACTAAATTCCTCATAATAAAAAAGGACTGTATAATGTGCATAATTTACCAGAAACACCAATAATTTTTCTAGTGTATTCACCAAAATGTTATAAAATGTGCCTAGTTTACAGAAACAACAATTTCATACTGTAGTCAACATTCAAATTGATATCTTTCACTTGCAGCAAGGGAGGGTAAAATAGAAGGTGGTTATTGTTTGGAAGGAGAATCCGCTTCCATAAGAACATCAGGAATCTGGCTCTCTGGTGTCCTTTCTCTCCTTGGGAGTCTGTAGCCCACCCCTGCTTTTGGCTCACTGTCTCAAACTTTTCAGAACTAAAAACTGGTCTAAGGTTGTCTCTTTCTGTTTTTTCTTTAACACTGTTCTGTAGTATGACATGACATTGTCATTAAGCAAGCGGATATAATGACTTTTTTCTCTGTGTGGGTGGGTCTTCTCTACAAATGTTTGTAGCTCTGTCCATTTTTTTCAGGATTTTCTTTATTTCAGAAGAATAACCTTGCTGCACTGGGTTTTGACATCCCAGTCCTCCTCAGAAATTCCTCAGCTTCCATTCTGTGTTACTCAGTGAGAATTTGCTGAAGTTCCTCTGTAGACAATTCCTCTGCGTATTCCTCTACCAGTTTCTCAACATCACCACTGTCTTCTTACAAGCCTTTGGACTCTGCTATAGTGAAAATGTTGTTAACTACAAGGTCATTTGGAGGCTCAGGCTCCTCTACACTGCCTTCATAGTCTCTCTCTTGTATTATTTTAGGCCATACTTTCTTCCAGGTGATCTGTGTCCCAAGAGACATCAGGCTAAGGTTTTTCAATTAACTCCACACAGGAAGGATTTTGTAATGTTCCTTCCAGAACTCTTTAAGGATAAAATCTGTATCTGAGACCATCTGGAACTACTTTAGGAATATTTCCTGGGTATATATCTTCTTGAAGTTAACTATAAACTGCTAGGGCTGGGGATAGAGCTCAGTGGCACAAGTACCTGCCTAGCAAGCACAAGGTCCTGAGTTCTATTCCCAGCCCCCAAAAAACAAAACAAATAAAACCTGCTAGTCCACAGGCTGCAGTACAGGAGTTGTATTAAGTGAGAGGAACTTGACTAAGTGCCATGGGAATCCTTCAGTCAATTATTCTTCCAAATTTCATGAGTGAGCAGGAACACTGTCCCTAAGGAGAGAACCTTGAGTAGTAAGCCTTTATCCTATAGATATTTCTTAAAGTAGGACAAAAAGCCTCCCTGATCCACTCAAGAAAAATATTCTATTTACTCATGCTTTTGCATCAGGTCTCCACATGCCCCCTACCTTATCATTCATGATTTTATGTTTTCTGAACATTCTAGGGCTCTCAGACTGATCAACCAAGAGAGGCTTTATCTTGAGATCACCACTCACATTGGAACATAGCAATAATGTTACCTACATTTCATAGGCTTGTGACCTGGCATTTCCTTCACTCCCAGGCATTTTCTTCCAGAAAAGGTCAGTTTCATCACACTTAAAACTCCATAAGAGCAAAAGCCATTTCTCAGTGTTTTGAAGTGGTGTACATAATTTTCTGCAGCCCTTTTATCAACATTGACTGCTTCACCATGCCTACTTACACTATCAACCCCAGTTCTCACTTTAAAATTGTGAAACCACCCTTTACAGGTATGAAATGTTTCACTACTGTCACTCATTGATGGATTATCCTTTATGAGTCCTGGATTTATAGCCCTAACTTTTTCATAAATTAGCCACTCAGATAGGTGGTAACCTGCCATTTGCCTTTCATTTATCCACACCAATAATAGTCTTTCTACCTCATTTAATACCATTGATCATGACTAATTTGAGTAACACCTTTAGCCACACTAGCTTTCTTATACAAATCTTTTCCCTGTAAGATTGTCGAGATGGTGGATTTCAACATGCTGTAATATTAGCAAGATCAGTCACATGAATGCCATTCTCATACTTCACAATTTCCTTCTTCTTTCTGATTTTGATTTCTTTCTTTACCTTCCCTTCCTTTCTTAGCTTTTTTTCTAGCTTTTTGAGGGAGCAATTTTGACAGCAGTAATTGTAGCAATTATATGAAGCACTGACCAAAATCACATTTACAAACACATCTGGG